ATCAATATTTGCATAAATACCATTAAAATACAGGCTATATAGACACAAGCAATTAGAGCTAGACCACGTAATTGAGGATTCTGGGGACCGTACCTCTGCAACACATGTACCTATTGTCCAAATACTCGAACATGTTCCCCAATCCTTTGCATCAAAATTTACATTTAATACCATTCAGATACAGGCTATGACACCAGTACTTATAGAGCTAGACCACGTAATTGAGGATTCCGGGGACAGTACCTCTGCAACACGTGTACCTGCATGATTTCTCAGTAGGATTTACCTCATTATCCTTGATAACACTAAACATGTATTTAAATGTTAAGATATACAATGCATTTACCTCAGCGTATGTCTAGTGCAGTGACTGTTCCAGACGGTCCTGCGTTGGGTACTTGCAAGACATCTGCTGACTGCCTGCTGGCCAACACCTTCTGTGTGGAGGGAGAGTGTGTCTGTGACATGATGTTCGTCTTCTCTCATGCGCAAGGTGGATGCATTCAAAGTATGTACATGTACTTACCTATTTTATATACAACAAAAAAACGAATTGAAGTCATTGTAGTTACGCCCCTTTATACCAGCATTGTGCAAACGAATTTCCTTTTTTCTTTAAGCGTTCTTTTTTTACGGTTCCACTTAGTATGTAAACCAATCTTCAGTATCAAAAACAACAAACTAGACCAATAAGTGAGTGAGTGAGTGATGGAGTGAGTGAGTGAGTGAGTGAGTGAAGCGTGTGGCCAATATTTGAACACGAGCAATTCTTTGATTTTCAAAGGTCATGTAGAATAAGATTATAGAATCAGGTGTTAAAACAATCATTATGTTTGCTCATAGTTAGATTGAATCTTGAATTTGAAATTGTCTTTTTGCACTCAGTTTAGCCATATTGAACATACCAATCTTTCAAAGATTCTCGTAGGTTTGACATTTTGACACCTGTATCCAACTTCGTCCTTTAGGCTCTGCAGTGTTAGCCAGGACTTTGCTTATAAATCTCATCCTCATGTCTCTTCATTTCAAATATACTTACACGTGTTAATGGAAGCTCAGTGATGTTCGTAATAATGTGTTTCTTTTGTGTAAGATATAACGTAACATTGTTATAAACATCGCATAATATTCAGACATTCACATTAACAAATTCTCATAGACAAGATGATACGGTATTTTGATAGTTGGTTGGTTTGTTGTTTAGCGCCGCACTCAGCAATATTCCAGCTGTATCACAGAGCCGAATCAAATGATTTGCTGTCAAGGATAAAATCCTCAGAGTGTTGAATCTTTTATGACCTATTCTAATGCTTATGTCAGTAATCAAATAATGAAGTATTGATCCAAACTTTTCAATCGTCCATTATGGTCATGTATGATTGTGAGTTCTAACTTACACAACGGCTTAGTTTCGGTGAAATATGTGTGTGTCACAAAGGTACCTAGAGACCGCTGTCACAGTCAGTGAGTGAGTTGGGTTTAACGCCGCTTTTAACAGTATTCCAGTTATATCACGGCTAGTCAGCTTAATGTGGGAGGAAAGCCCGAAGTGATGCAGGTCTCGGACGTTTACCACTTCGGTGAAACCCACGAGCACGGGTATGGTGCTGACAAACCTAGAAACCTAATCGGGGCGAACCGGGATTCGAACCCACAATCATAGGTTTCTGGCATGCCCAAGGGACGCAACTCTGCACAGCGAATAGTCGCGCCTCCGCTGTCACAACTCGAACAGGTCAGTTGTTTTACATCAAAGGTTATGATGGTCAGGCAACTTGTACAGTTTCTTACAAGACGGCTACTGGCCAAACAGACACGAGTAGCTATATTCGTTAACAAATAACGATACTTTTCCTTCCAGACTGCTCTCACTACGGTACAACGTTCACCAGGTATGTGGGGTATATCTTACGTGAGCATAACGATATTAAGGTGGAATCCATCTCGGAGAAAGACTGCCAAGCGGCTTGCATCAGAGAGACAAGCATACTGTGTAAGACCGTTGACTACAATCCAACATCAAACAATTGCTTCCTGAGTTCAACAGGATGGAATGAGGCCCCGGCCATATCAAGGGCTGCTGACGCGAGATATAACGAACACATCCGACATTGTGATGTTTGAATACATTTAAAATGGAAATCAGGACGTAAGTGGTTATTGTCAAACAATGAATATAGAAGCCGCCGTTATTATATGTTAGTTGGGCGTGTAACATTTCAAGCTTCAAACATCTTCGTCCTTAAACTGTTGCTTTATGTTGTTGTAATATGGTATAACTTTGTGATGTACAAAATAAAATGTCAAGGCCAGGGAATAAGCAGTCTCGATTATTAAACGAAATAGATTCCATTTGGCGAAAAAGGAAAGATGGTAAAAATAATCGTTAAGTGAATGGATAACAGAACATCTGTGATGACACCAGCTGTTCGCAAAAAGGGTAAGAATGCAACGGTGGCCAATAAGGGACATGGAGTCTGTTTTTCAATATTTTGATGTTTCAATTACTTTTACAGTAAGCTTTTGCAAATTAACAAAATTTGTCATACAAATATGTGATAAGTCATGTATAAAAACAACCGAAAACATGGAAAATGTACTTTCAAGTAGCTATTGAGTCGCTGAAATGTCAAGCGAAAATGTCAAAAACTAAAATGGAAATGTCAAAAACCAAAACGAAAATGTCAAAAACCAAAACGAAAATGTCAAAAACAAAAGCGAAAATGTCAAAAACTAAAAAGAAAATGTCAAAAACAAAAGCGAAAATGTCAAAAACTAAAATGAAACCACAGAAAACTATTTCCATCGCGGTGGAAACATTATCACCGCGTTTGAAAGTTTTCTGTATTTTCATTTTAGTTTTTGACATCTTCGCTTTGTTTTTGACATTTTCATTTTAGTTTTTGAAATTTTCGTGTTTTTTTGTTGACATTTTACATTTTAGTTTTTGACATTTCGTTTTTGTTTTTTGACATTTTCATTTTAGTTTTTGACATTTTCGTTTCACTTTTCAGCGATTCAATGTCTTCTTTACACATGATTTTTCACATATTTGTACGACAAATCGTGTTAATTTGCAAAAGGTAACGACAAAAGTAAGTGAAATATCAAAATATGGAAAAACTGACTCCATGTCCCTTATGGGCCACCGTAAGAATGGCCTGCTCTACCTGTAACACAATTTTGAAAAAAAGTAAATGAAACATTTGTGTCACCGATCACTAGTTTACCGATGCCATCATCGTATTGTCAATAAAATATCTGATCTGTGTGCTTTCATCAGTTAGTTATTATTTAGTATAGGTTAGATCACAACGAACAAGTGTCTAACTAACAATTTAACCGATTAGACACCATGGTGTGATCTAACCTACTTAAAGCATGACCAACATGCAAAGAGCCCTAGCACCTTAAATGTTTAAACAACATTGGTTTGATAAATGTGTTTATAAATATATTTAAGAACTCTATGTTTAACTGTGAGAACACTGTGTGAGTCGGCCCTCTGCGATGCACGTGAAATATGTTTCCTGAGCCTTTCGCACGTGCACCTCGCTCTTTGGCGACTTGGGTTATAATATGCATGTCACGGGGAAAGTAATACTATACATTTCATATAGGACCAACTCGAGCACATTTATCAATCGCCTATTGTGGCCAATCGCCAAATAGAAGATAGCTTCGCCATAAATCGCAAAGAACAACGAAGAACGAGGCGTAGCTAATTTCACGATAAAACATTGTTCTGTCATGACGTCATTTCTGGAGATTCAAACATATGCAACTTGATGACGTCGTAAATGGGACGACGTTATATTTTAAGGGTGTGTGTCTGGTGATGTGTTCCCCATAGATGCAGCTGGGCAACGAATAATGAAAGCAATGGCCGCACGATCCTTTGACGTCCGATGTTGAGAATATCCGGGAAATACCAAACTAAATCCCCCTGTTCACAAAATGTATAGCTCCGACATTGCCCGGGTCAGATGGTGTTCAGGGATTCATCGCAATTTATATACGGGTAAATATTGATAAAGCTTGTATATTTTATTAACATCCTTAAAGAGGCTGTACAAAATGTTGATGTCTCATATAAAAAATATACGACGAGTGGGGGTTGTTTATCGAACATTTTACCATGAATGTGGAAATTACTCTATTCTGATTGGTAAATCAGAGGTTGTCAAATCACAAAAACCTCTTCTGATTGAAACAGCCGAATGTTGTGCGATTATTTACAGACCACCGTCACATAGCTGGAATATTGCTCAGTGCGGCGTTGAAATAAATAAACAAACGAACAAACATTCACAACATAAAAGTACTGCATAAAGCACACCTTTCACCTTTCATAAGCTATGGTTTAAGAAGTTGTATTGGATGCGCGGATAAAGACGATGCTTATGATCACACTATAAAAAAAACATGTTACTATACAATGTTGTCCCTGAACATGTACTTACTCTTTTGTAATGAACATGGGATAAGCAAGAGTAAATCTTTATTGTAATGTTATTGTATTATATTTGCTACAGTGTTGTGCTGGTTCACAGACAGCTCCTTGAGTGTGTCTTCAGCAATGCCTGTCGTAAGAGGCGAATGCCGGTTTCGGGTGGTTTGTCTCAGTGACTTGTCATTGTATCCTAATTTCTTTGGTCGAAGCTCATGATACCAATCACTCGATATCTGGTCCAGACTCGTTTATTTACAGACCTCCGTCATATAGCTGGAATATTGTTGGGTCCGCACACAGAAAAGTAAGGACAATATTTATGGATGAACAACTGCTTTATCACACTTAGGAGCGACGTTTCGGTGTACGTTCTAATAGTGAGTGAGTATGGTCTTACGCCGCTTTTAGCAATATTCCAGCAATATCCCGGCGGGGACACCAGAAATGGGCTTCACACAGTGTACCCATGTGGAGAATCGAACCCGGTGTAAAGTCTGAAAGTATACCCCCCCCCCCCCCCCCCTTCAAAGTATACCCGGGTAGATTCTTGGAGCTCCCACAATCTACCCCCGGGGGTATACTCTGGGCGTTCCCAGAATCTACTGCAGCCCTGTTTGATTAAAACATTTCTATTTCATGAATGTACATGAAGTTTTCTTTTGGGGTATGCATCTAACTCAGTCTTGATCTCTCCTGGTCAATTGCTGTAAAAAACATTGTCATCTGATTAAGTTTACATAAATGCCTATTCAGTACACATCTAATTAGTTTTAAAACATGCATTTCCTGTCATTTATATTGAGAAGACAAAGGTGGGAGCACCAGTTTTTCCAAACACTAATCATAATTAAAGAAATCTCACATGAGTGTTTTAGCCTATAAATGCCGAGCGCCAGGGATTATAACAACAAGCACCATCTTTTAATGTCTTTCGGTATGACGCGCCTGGGGATAGAACCCACGACTTTCTGATCCCTGGGCAGACGCTCTGCCACGAGACCACGAAGGCCGTATTCTAATAGTAGAAGATGAGGGAGTGTATAAGTACAGTATTATGCAGCCAGCTTTTAGCAATATTCCAGCAAAGTCACTGCTGGGGACACCTGACATCAGCATCACACATTGAACTTACGAGGGGAATCGAACCCGGGTCTTCGGCGTGACGAGCGAACGCTTTAACCACTAGGCTATCCCACCGCCCCTTTCCTTTCTAATAACGTTATCAAACAAGTTGTGACCATTTTAGAACGGTACCTACACCGAAACGTTTCTCCCAATCAAGAAGTTGTTCATCCATATATGCTGTCCTTATTTAGTACTCCAACTACTAAATGCATCTTAAACAAGTTAAACTTACAAACGAAAATAACTCAGATGTCCCACTTGAGACCATCAAATCATCATAACAACTACTGAAGAAAACAAACAACGACAAAATACGGTTTCAGAAATAGTACTGTGATATTGATGACTCGAAGATTCGTTAGTATCTGAAAATCGATGTTCATTGCTAATTCCATTCCTGGTTCATAGTTGCTGAAGAAATATGGCAGAATAGCTCAGGTGATGTGATTGTATTCGGGAATAATTCCAGATAGATGCTAACTCAGATGGTTGGTAGCTATGTGACGAGACGAACGACGTTCCCCATCGAAAATGATCCACATTTTTGCTTTTAGGATAGAGGAAACCACATCTCCCAATGTGAACAGCGTCTGTATACGAAGCAGATATGGCTGTAATAAAGATATCTTCTATACGTAACAAGGGAATCCGGGGTATGACGGTCAAGAGGTCAAGGACAAGGTCACCGGATATTACGTAGGAAGGACCAAAGATGTAATTTGGGATCACATTTCCGGAATAGTGATCTTTTGGAAAATAGTTCTTCTTTGTTTTCATCCTTTGTGGTTTATGTCCTCTTCCGACATATCCCATGATAAATTTAGATTGGTAACTATGCATTAATAATCTATAATACAGGTTTGGCAGATTTAACACGACGTCATCATCAATTTTTAGGATGAACTTCACGCTTGGTACAAAGGAATGGGTCCACTTCAAAATACCTATACTCTTATGAACAAGATTTAGATATGTATCATCCTTATTGATTTGTGTAACATCAGCATATTTGTGTATTTCATTTTGGAATTGTATCCAGTGTGCAAAATTGCTTTGTTGTTTCCCAACAAAGAATACGAGGCACACATTTCCTGGGGCATTGTCTTGTATGGCGGAGCCCCAAGTCTGCCGGATGATGTTGCGCGTCCTGAAATGCTCGTAGGTGGAGACTACAGCTACTAGTAGCCATATCCTCTTGTCCCCATTAGGAAATGCTTTGCACGTGTCACTGTTTACTGGAAACAGAATATCTTCAACGATGGAGGTGGGCTGATTAGCAGAAACATCTCCCATAATATTTTTCTGTAGTTCTTCAGTTGCACAACAGGTTGGAGAGCCAACGCGACACATAGCTTCACTGACATAGAAGAAGTACGAAACATAGCACACCATGTTAATGACAATGATGAGGAGCTGACAAACTCTCAAACATTTCACACCTGCCAGAACTCTGTATATTCTTTTGAACATGTTGTAATATAACTATATTGAAACAGATTGTTTCTGTTTAGATCTGCAATAGGAAAGGAACAGACATGTAAGCAAATGAAGTAGCAGGCATGTTGACAAAAGGGCCTAAGCACACACGCACACATCCACACAGACGCATGCATGTACGAACATACACCACACACACATGTAATCAAATTAACGAGCAGACATCGACAAAAGGTAGCGAATACACACGTCCACAGCCATTCATAGATGCACACAATTATGCATCCACGCACTCACCTCTACGAGTTACACATGGCACATGGCTAAAGTATTGTTTAGTTTGCGAACATACGACACAAATTTATCAATTATGATAATAAATCGTTAATCGACAACTGAATTTGTAGATGCTTTGATGTTGGCCTCTCACCTCTCAGTGCAAGTTTCTTTGCAACCTCTACCAGCGCACTGTTTGCGTGAAACTGGTATGTCGGTTATTGAAGTGATAGCCACAAATGTATGAAAACAATGCGAAGTCTCGAGTGTACAGCCAGTGTACCGTAGTTCCTTATGTAACTGATGATTGATTGCCATGAATGATTTTTTTCCTGATATCCTTCAATACAGGTTGTCTACACTTAATCCACACGCACAAACATGATCATGATTTCACAAACATAGATGATTATTTATTGACTGACATATTAATGTCACTTGTAGCTGCAAGAGAGGACATATCTGGCAATTTTCCTATATTTACTTTTAATTGAATACGGTATTTATACATACACCGCGCACAATTTATAGCAGAGAATATTGTAATAATGTCGTATATCTATCACTTGCTGGCGTGATATGAATAACAGGCTTAACAACTACTATATTTGCGAGGAAATATCGTGCTTACCATCGAATTGCTTTGTCTACAAATATTCTGGTTTCGACCAGACCCCAGTATCCAATGACGTTTCGTAACAGCCGACTAAATGGATCACGTTCGTTTATAGTTTGATTGCATGTCACCTTGCCCCTTATACTTTGGCCGTGGTTCATAATATGAATCACTGGTTTGTCTGTCACACTCGCAAGTATATATATATGTGGCACATTGCCGATTGCCACACGACACAACAAAGCAATGCACACGCAGAGCCACCCCAAAGTGGACCATTTAATATGTGTCTTTCTTGTCACTTTTAAGACTCTTATGATTATGGCTGGGCTTTAGATCAATGAAAACATAAAGATGATACGTTTTATAAATATATTTATATTTAATACAACTCTTCTAATTTTACTTGAATTATGGTACTTAAACATATCACTCAGTGAATTAGTTTGGTATAAGTCAGTGATATCACACGTCAGCTTGATGTAAGAGGAAAGACTAAAGTGATGCAGTTTGAACTTACCTATTAGTGAGTGATTTGGGTTTAACGCCGCTTTTTACAGTATTCCAATTATATCACGGCATGTCAGCTTAATGTGGGAGGAAAGCCCGAAGTGATGCAGGTCTCTGACGTTTACCACTTCGGTGAAGCCCACGAGCACGGGTATGGTGCTGACAAAACTAAAAACATAATCAGCGCAAACCGGGATTCAAACCCACAATCATAGGTTTCTGGCGTCCCCAAGGAACGGAACTCTGCACAGCTATAACAGAGGCGCCTAAGATGACTGGACCAACCGTGCCCCCCATATGTTTTGGAAATCACAAGATAATGTCATTGAACATTAAAAGAATAACAATTTATAACTTCACGACAAGCATATAAGGTTAAAAACACACATTATAACAAAACCCTTGGCCCAGTGTCGAGTTGTAAAAAGTGAAATTGGAAAGGAATACTCTAAAAAGAATATTACAAACTTAGGAACAAAGCAAAAGACATTTTACACAGATATTCGCGAAATTATATCAGAAACAAAACACTTGTGCTATAATCTTATAACTTAGCAAACACAAGCACAAAACCATTTCCATAATCACAAGACATATCTGCTAAGCCAGTCCATTGGACGATTCTGACTATATCAAAAGCACGTGTTCACGAATTGCTATCAGTTAGTGGAGATACCAGATGTTCGCGAGGTGAGGGTATCCTGCCCCACAGATGGCACCCGTCACAAACGCATGCAAGTCAGTTGTTCACCTGAAAACAATACAAGGGCACTTATGTTAGTGGTCAAGATAAGGAATTGCATCAGGCATAATTTTGGTCACTTATGCGTCAGATGTCCTCCACATTTTTATTTGATTTAAAAAAAAGGTTTTCTAAGGCCTCTTATGTTGTAACCATGACCAAACATTATTTCCTGAGAAATCCTGAGCATCTTTTGATGCCGGAACTAGAAACGAGTCCTGATTGGTCGAGTCGATTCTTGTCCCGGATTTAATATATTCTAGTGATTTCTCTGACGAACACCATGTTATAGCTGATATATCATTTCTCAGTTATGTTGCACAATGTCCTACAGTTGCGTTAGTTTGGCATGTTAAAGTGCACGTCCAGAATGACCATTGAACATCATGCTCAGAATCAACTATAAAAAACAACGGTGTGTCGTCATAATTAATAATAATCTAAATTCGTTGAAATGTTCGTTGAAAGATCATGCTTGCCTGTACCTCAAAAGTAGACACCAAAGGCTCGAGCTGCTGGAATATTGCTCGACTATTGGAAAGTTGAAGTCATCCCATTTATCATGCAGTCTTGTAGTTTCTTGTCACTCTGAATATTTATGCATAAATCTAAAATTAAAACAGATGAGGCGGTTTCACTGGTCTCATTTATGCCTTGTTTGAGTGGATAAATCAGTTGAAGGAAATTGGCTATCTGACCAATATTGAACGAGATCCGATTATTCATTTAACCTTGAGCTTGGATATGTTAAATTAAACTTCTTGGCCAAATTCTCTTACTTTGATTTTGCCTGTCTAAACAGAAATTCTGACTCGTATGTACAAAGAGAACAGATTAGCATAGAAGAAACACAACTGTTGCCCATGGGGATGGCTTCTTTTTGCCTCGATCTCCTTTTTCAAAATGTCACAATAATATTGACCAATCCAATCTAAATGTATTTAAAAGTCTTGAACAATGTTTGCAATGTGTGACGAGATAACAAAAACAGGTATAAGAAAAGGACATTGTTTTACAGTCAAAAAGAAGGTCTATTTACATACAACCCACAATGTATGGCAGCGGCCTGATAGTTTAATCAATCGTCGCACATACACTAAATGGTCGTTTGACGGACGAGTAAGGACATTTACAAAACTTCCAACTTTCACCGATCAATACAAATGCTCAATCACCTTTCTAAGTCCATGATGGTATTGTGAAGGCAATTCACAATAATTGCAAGAAAAAAGATACACTGTGTATAGTATAGTATAGTGTAGTGTAGTGTAGTGTAGTGTAGTGTAGTGTAGTGTAGTGTAGTGTAGTGTAGTGTAGTGTAGTGTAGTGTAGTGTAGTGTAGTAACCGATACTTTACTTCTTAACTGACGACCAAGTGAAACTCGTGTAGCACACTGCAGCAAAATACCACAATTTTTTTATCCAAATAAAAGCAAACAAGGTTTCAATATACTGTATACTGAACATATTTGGGGAGATATTGTTGTGAAAGTGTGTGGTCAGTCCTCACTACAAAAAAGATACCCTCAAACATTCATACTTTTTTGTTCAGTGTAATATAAATCCACAGATTATTGCCAAAATGAACCCATTTTCGTCGAATGTAAACGAAATGAGATATGAATAGAAATGTTGAAACAAACTATTCAGGGTTATCTGAAAATAATCCTATCATCATTACAGCACTTAGCGGCATGTAGTGTCAGGACACTGTAGCTCACTTCGCTATATAGTCAACTTTATACAATGTCAACAAAACCAGCCAATTAAGTGAGCATTGCTGTTCAAATATCTTCTTCATAAATACCGAGGACAAGTTGACAGACGTGAAACAAGCAACTTAATATTAAGAATGGGCCTTATATCATAAACATGTGTTTATGAATCACTATCAAATAGTGATGATACTATGTGTTCGCTAGAAGGTGAGCGTATCCTGCCCCATCGCTGACAAACAAATGCAAATCAGCTGATAACATGAAAAAAACATTTGACACAAACAAAATAGGGGATTGCGTCGGTCATCATTTGAACCATGAATAATATTGAGACAGGAGAGCATACAAAACGAAATACAATAATGAAAAAAAATCACATGAGTAAATACAAACGATTCTAATTATATTTTTGAAAGATGGAGAAGCAATTCTGCGTATATTAGACACAGGCAGTTGTAACACTTTGGCTCAGGCATTGTACACAGAGATCGTGGGTGAAAGTGTCTCTCATCATAATTGTTAACAGTTATTTGCTTATGCTTATAGGTATATATAGGGCCTTTGGGGAGCGTGGTATGTTCCTGTACACGTGCATAGCGAATCAATTTATCTTAAGATGTAAAACTGATTATAGATATATTAGACGAAAGTGTCAATTGTGTGGCTAATATACTTTTAAGTATGAAGGGAAAAGCCAACAGTCCCGACTCTCTCTCTCTATATCCATACAAAAGGGTAGATCAATATCAGTAGAACAAAGCTCAATTGTTATGATAAATATTTGTACAAAATGACCTGTCAAGTCTGATGTTGACATGAACAATGCCTTGTGGTCATGTGTGTCTCTATGTTAATTACCTATTTCCAATAATATATCTTTATGGTCACACGTGTTCAGCCTTTGGGAACAATATCGTATCTAGAAATTGACTTTCATAAAGACGTTGTAAAGGACAGGCACCAAAACCATATCCGGACTAGAACAAGCAGCCACACAAACACACACACGTACATGCACGTCGCTATATAAGTGCAATAATCTTGGACGCGACGTTAAACCCCATTTCACCTCACCTCACCTTTGTCGTTCTCAGATCAGCTGACATAGGGTGCCAATTTCAGATTGGGACAGGTTATGATTACCGACGTGGTAAACGCCTAAGATCTGCATGAGTTCGGGTTTTCCTACCACATCAAGCTCGTGCGCCGTGATATCGATATACTGTTCCAAGCGGGGTTAAATCCGACCCATTTAACTACTCGCTACATGAACGTTTGCAAACTACATGTAGGTATCTCATAATCACGTCAAAGCAAGTTTATCTTACAAACTGGACCTAAACGTGTAAGTATCATGAAAAATAGAAATACATTTTCTTACATCATTATGTGACCAGTATGTTTGTTTCTTGTTTAACGAGGCACTCAGCATTATTCCAGCTATATGACGGCGGTCTGCAAATAATCGAGTCTGGACCAGACCATCCAGTGATCTACTTCATGAGCATCGATCCACGTAATTGGGATCGATCACATTCATCAACCAAGTCAGCGAGCCTGACCACCCGATGCCGTTAGTCGCCTTTCACGGCAAGAAGACCTATTCTAACCCGGATCTTCACGGGTCGTGACCAGTATGATGTTCAATATGATGGCTGAGAACAAAGTGTGAAAACTTAGCGCTGTTGCGCTGAATTAAAAGTACAGTAAAATACGGTTATAACGAACGCGCTTATAACGAACTGACGGATATAACGAACTTACTTTTTTGGTCCCGACTATTTGCTGTACATATTTCTCCGACGGGGGAGAATGTTATATGGCAGTGTATTTTATTGTTGAACAGTGATTGTAGTTGGTTCACATTGTTTATGTTTAGATTCGGCAGACGCTCATTGCATTGTGTTTGGACAGTGATTGGTCGTCAGGAATGTAGTACTATTTAATATAAGCAGTTTTGAGGAAGTGACTATTTAGATGCTAGTATGATATGTAAACTTCCTGTATACCGTGGACTGTGTTATAGAAACATGAGGAATATTCTGTGTTGTGATGGCACTGTGGGGAAATTTCCAGTAGCTAGTATGTAAGGGGGACAAGAGCATGCCTATTGTATCTCTCACAAATTTCGTCTCTCACACATTTCATTATGTCAGGATAAGCTTTCGCGTGCAGATCACTCGTCACCCCTGATTCTCTGCCTCGAAAGCTTGACCTCCCTCCCTCCCTCCTCCGGCCTTCCTCCTTCCCTGCCTTCCCGCCCTCCGGCCTTCCTCCTGCCTGCTTTCCTGCCCTCCCGCCTTCCCCCTTCCCGCTTTCCCGCCTTTCATCGTCTCAGTGATCTATCATCTCCACACGCAATCGGCACACACCCTGCACACACCTCTCCTCCCTCCTCTTCCTCCTCCCTTCCCTTCCTCCTCCTCCCTCCCTCCTCCTCCCGCCTTCCGCCTTCCCGCCTAGCCGCCTCCCGGAACCGGAAATACCGCCATCTTGGATGCGCACATACTCCCCGGAACCGGAAGTGCCGCCATCTTGGATGCTCGCATACTCCCCGGAACCGGAAGTGCCGCCATCTTGCGCATGCACAGAACCATTTCCTGTCCCTATACTCCTGTCCCCTACTTCTTTCGTATGAATAACACGTACGTCGAAGACTGCCATGTGACACACCATTAGGAAGCTTATATTTTTCATCTACAAGACAGTCTTTTCGTTGTTGTAACATGAGATTTTATGGGATGAAAATTAGTTTCTAATGACGCTTTCTTGCCGAAATCTGCCACAAGGTTCGTGATTGGTCAAATTTGACCATGTGACCTGAGGCAGCCATTCACATTACAGCAATGGTACTGTCCTTGCGTATGATGAATTTCAGATTTTGGTGAAAGATTTTTGCTTAATCGTGTTATTCTGAACGTTTTAAGCAGGACAACGCGATCTTTTTAAAACATATGGAACTTCATGATTGTATCGTGCAAGGTCACGAGCTATGACAACGATCTTTCATACATATATTTTGGCATTAAACATCTTGTCCCAGCAGAGAAAACAAGGCGGCGAAAGCCGAGATGTCATTTGACTTACCTTACTGATCGCACGAAAAGATGAAAATAATAAGTAAACTTAGAAGTAAGCTTGACAACTTTTGGATATATTTTCGTTGATTTTATATATTACTTTGTATAGTATATTTAAAGATTTACTTGAAACATATTTATTTTGCTCTTTGACATGTGCTATGTGGACCGGTTGTCAAACTTGAAGTGTGTGTCCAAGAATTATATTTTCAATAATCTTTCACGTGACTATATGATTCATGATTTTTCCGTTCTGGCCAAGAGATAAGTGTTTGTAAATATTCCGTTTCAATTTTCAAACTTCACTCGCAAAGAAGGAAGCGTGGATTATTTCACGATAAAACATTGTTCTACCATGACGCAATTTCTAGAGTTTCGAACAAGAGCTCGCAACTTGATGACGTCGCAAATTGGACGACGTCATTTTTGAGTGTGATGTGTCCGTGAGGTTTTTTCCCCTCAGATGTAACTGGGCAAAGCGGATTAAGGCAATGGCAAATGGCCGATCAGTATATAACAATCGGTATATAATGTTTGTTTATGTAGTGGTGGTGGTGCAATTATCTTCTTTGAAATTTCATTCCAGTACTAAGTATTTAAGCAGAAATATTTGAATATCAATGCTAACAATAATTTTAGGGCATATATTTCAACTGTTGACTACCACATCCATGTGAGCTAAAGTGCCGTGGCACTTTTTTTCCTGTTTGAAAGGGTATAATCTGAAGAAAATATATCCTTTGGTTAACATTACAGAGAGAAGACATACTGCTACGCCAGACATATATGATGCTATGATGTTGGAATGACATGTTTATAACTTACCTGCTTGTCTCCTTGGCCATCAGAACCAGGAGTAGGGTCAGAAAAGGATGTAGATGGACGTCAATTGCAGTTAATCGAGAAGCCAACTATCGACTGTGTGATAATAGCATCACACAGGGAAGTAACAATGTTATCTGCAAAGCATGCATATGATCACACGTTCACCTGATAGCCTGTTGACTCGCGGTGTCCTTAAAGATATGTTGTCCTTTTTTCACTCATATAAAATTACCAGTGAGTTGTATTTATATTATTAGTCTAAGGTAAAGCAAAGATGATTGTTTGTGAGTTTTACTTTTAATGATATGCACATGTAGGTACCGTGTAACCAGTAAAAAAGAAAGGGTAACTACTAAATCATAAATGCTATAATACATGGTCACTTATCCACTTGACTAGAAAAATAAAACCTCAACCAGGCAAACTATGAAACACTGTTCGAAGCAGCGTTATCTCCCGTTCACTCATGCACTGACTCAGTGTGGCAGTGCGACATATATACTGTGCAAAAAAGTAGAGCACACTTTGTTTTGAGGTGTACCTACAGAAAATACACTTACATCTGGCAATTGAAGTAAGTGATGTATGTGCCAAGAACATTGTGACAGTCACGAAGCACGTGACCTAGCTGGGGCAGCATGTGCAAGGGGTGGTATGCCAGATTTACCATTGTCACTCAGATTCGTTTGTGAGCAGACATATATTGTTTCCATGGAACCAAACGTTCAAAGACACTTTATCAAACACATTTTGTCATTAAGGAAACAACAGCAAGGATCATACGATGTTTGCAAAGTGCATGTTGCAGGTGCAGGTGGGCACACGTCAGAATAGTGTTGCCCAAACGCTGCATGTTTCTAAATTTGTCATCAGCAGATTGTGGGCCGGATACCAACGAACACAGAACGTCGATGATCGACGCCGCTCTGGACGCCGAAGGGCAACCACTCCAGCCCAGGACGGATTAGTCAGAACGATGGCAGAAATATGTTGCAAACTGCCACTTAGATAGATATGGGATCGGTTGCAACAGCCAACTGGTGTAAGAGTACATGCCCGTTTAAAATCGTCTGCTCAGATGTCATTTTTGTGCCTGACGTCCACGCCACATTCCTAAACTTACTGCACGTCATTTGAATCATAGGCGTCAGTGTACCACTATTAATCCATCACTAGTAACGCGAGACCACTGTAAGTATTTCTGACATATCACAGATTCATCTTTATGGATATCACTGGTTTCCCCATTAAATCTATCGTTGAATGTTGTGAAATAGTTTTCGTGACTTTATCATTGTACCCAATATTGCATGGGGATGCAGGAAACATACCGGAAAATGCGCACATAAATTACCGCAACATTGAAAATGGTGAATGCATTAAGACACCCAAACTATCTATATGAAGCTGATTTAAAACCGCCTCTCCTTCTTAAAATATAATGTTAGAACGTCAAACACTTTATAATATGGGAAAATAAATTGCAAGAGATTCTATGGCATTTAATCGGTTAACAAAGCAATGATTTTGTTTGCGTTTGTATTCCCATAAACCTTAAAACAATTAGACCATGCCGACTAAATGGTTACAAAAATCTGTGAAGGTATTATTGTTGACTTATTTATTCATAAATTTGTTTACGCATTGATATCATGTACGTAAAATGTATGAAGATAATAATTTCGGAAATTTAATTTCCTACAAATATGTACAATTTAACGTGTGAAGGTCTGCACGTTGTTTGTCTTATCCGTCGCCAAAGATGTTCTCCAGGTGAGTGGTCGGTGTGCGTGCGTGCGTGCGTGCGTGCGTGTTTGCATGACACGCCTTCAGCCTGTCCACTTCCTGTACGCAGTTTCAACGTAACGTTCTCCCCGATGTCATAACGCCCACATCATAACGCTACCCCCACCAAACCTGTCCACTTTCTTGACGCAGTTTCCGGCGTAACGTTCTCCCCGACGTCTGTAGACCCGTGCTCTTCCATCCCCTTGCACGGAGGAGAAATCTTGATTAGTCGCTGAACCAGACATCTCTCTTTCGCAGTTGAGGCCATACCCTGTGTTGCTGACACCAATGCAGTCGTTGTTGACGATGTTGACGACTCAATATGACGCGTCGAACAGGACGTCTTGCTCGTAGACCAGCTGCTCTTAAACGGTTTCGTCACCAGGCATTAGGCATGCATGGGAATACGCAAAAAAAGTTCTGGGTGATATATATTGTGGAGATATGTTTATGAAATTGTGCGCCCCGTGTTCACTACAACAAAACATTATCCACAAAAATATTCATTATCCCGACATTATTTTGTTCAGCAATGGTGAGCTTATAGTTACGATGGTTCAATGTAGGACTGCCTGTTACGGTGGTTACGTGGGTGCATTTATTGGTTGATGTCACCCAGCATAATGTCTACAGCAATGTGTAAACAAACTGTATCACCAAAATTTATATATTCGTTTTAATTTGTTGACAATGTTTGCATAACGATCACATGAAATATATGTATTGAACCTGCAAAAGAATACCAATCCTTTGTTTAATTTTATTTGTTTATATTAACATTAGGTATCGTTTTATTCAATGTTATCTTAAAGCAACAGAATGCGAAATTAGGTCACAAACAAAGCTTGTTATCAGGTCCGCCAGATACAGATAGGCCAACTTGTTTCGACGGGTCATCTTGACATATGCATAGCTATGGCGAGTGTAATTTCTAGTGACACGTTATCACAATGAGATCCATAGAAATATCTTCAGATAAATATTACATATATCACAACATATGATTTTACATACGAAAAAACATAGTTGTAAAGTATAGTCCTAGTTATAATAGAGTTAATTTTGAGACTAGATGTTAGTCGACCCACCAGCGCGAGGAATACATTTTTGAGAGGAAGGACAAATCCTCTATACCCCGCTTAGCACGTTTTTTTGTTTCGAGTCAGCGAAAGTCACGTGACATAGCATGGTGTTTTATGCCTCGAGCTCGTGGTGTGAGCGCTAACTCCATGTGCCCCTTGTGATCATGCTACAATGAATCTATTTTTCCGACATGTTATGATCTGCTATTGGTAAAAGAATTAAAACAAATTCGAAATTGATAGGAAACAGCTGTTCGATTGTGCTGAGGTTCATCTGTACTTTGTACCGTGAGCATACGGCTCTGGAATAAAACCTAATGCGGGCCGCATAAAGCCCCAACGACCTGTGATCCTGTTACAACTTATAATATATACTGAATCGGAAAAGGAAAAGGAAGTCGAGAATGAAATACTTTAGTTTATTTTTAAGAGAGGATGCATGCAAATGTGTAATCAGCGGGAAAGACACATGGCACACATTATTCTAACACTTCAATAAACGCTTTTGAACAACTGGAGGCAAACTTTCATCTGACTGGAACCGACCCGTGAAGATTCCGGTGTAGAATAGGTCTTTAGTACCCATGCTTGCCGTAAAAGGCGACTATGTTTGTCGTAAAAGGCGACTAACGGGATCGGGTGGTCAGGCTCGCTGACTTGGTTGATGCATGTGATCGATCCCAATTGCGTGGATCGATGGTCATGATATGAATCACTGGATAATCTGGTCAAGACTCGATTATTAACAGACCGCCGTTATATAGCTTGAATATTGCTGAGTGCGGCGTTCAACAACAAACAAACAAACAAACAAACAAACAAACTGACAGGAACCATAAAAAAATTGAGCTTCAGTTGCATCCGTGATCAGCATTTGTACTCACCACTGCATTGCACCTTTGGTACATGGAATTCATGAGACTGCTGACAAAGGCCATAGGGATAACATGTCCAGATAATGGCTGTCGGGAGTTCCGCTGCTGTTGTTGTCCTTGGGTGCACTTGGTCTTGTCTTCTTTGCAGTTCAGCCATAAATGTTCTAGGGGATTAAAAACCGGATTGAGTGCTGAACACGTGTAGCGCTAGCAGTATAGGGTCTTGCATTATCCCGTTGGAAGGTGTGTTGTTGGTGTCGATCAATCATTAGGACAACCTGGGGTCGAAGGGCCTGGTCGAAACAACGTTTAGGTGTTACCCCTTTTCATCGTCTTGGGCAAATATTCTGGAGGACAACTGGAAGGTCAATGATTCAGGCCAATGGCGGCCCTAGGGTCACGTATCGGTTTCCACGACACATCCGTCACCAAAGCGTTCACCGCGCCTGCGCCATATTCGAACGCTGCCATCAGCGTTGACAATGCCTAAACGACTTTCATCCTAGAATACAATCAGGTCTCCATTGTTGATGACGCCAGTTTCGATACAACGTAATCCACTGCATACCGTTCTGTCGGTGCCTCGGTGTCAGGATTTGACGGCGGACTGGACGACAGCTGAAGTTGCTGCACCGTGTCACAATCGACAACCAACGGTGGTACAAGAGTATATATATATATATTATATACAACATATAATATACAATGCATATCAAGATGGTAACAAGCCTAAAATAAATAGAAATTAAGCAAATAAAATAATAATAATAATAATAATAATAATAATAATCATCATCATCATCATCATCATCAAAAGAAATAAAATTAGACACCTTAACGCAATAATGAGTTCAAATGTACGATGAATCTGGACAGCTGTTTCAAAGTGGATATATTTTTAGGTGATAACGTTTTACACAATTTACACATATGTGGCCAGATATAACAATTCTGTTGGATGTAAAGAAGTCGTTGTTTGAGAAGTGCTTCACACCTACAAAGATAGTGAAATTCGTCTCCAACAGCAGATGAATTGCATAGTGTGCAGACACGGTCTTCTCTCAGTAACCCTCTCCATCGGCCGGTTTCAATGGGCAAATGATGATTGGATGTGCGAAATTGTAAAATTGGCAAGTAGATAGTTTTGGGAAGTAAAAGAAATTTTGGTAATTCTTTTAAATGTTGGTAGTATAAACCTTTTGAACTTGATAAAAAACATTTTCGCGACTGTTGAATTGCCGGTTGGCAGACAGAAACCCATTGCGGAGGCGATAGTTGTGCCGATGTAGCAGGCTAATATCAATCGCTGAAAAGTTCATATTAGAATATGTTGAGCCTAGGATCAAGTCACTCCCCTCTACC